TATGTATAAATATATATATATATATACTATATATATATATATATATATATACTGTCGTTGTCGAAAAGGTTGTCCTGAGCAAGTATATGTATATATCGATCACGTGACATTATTATGCATCAACACGCGTGGAATTGTACAAGCGTGTTAATTGCGAGTTCGAGTATAGCAAGGTGAACGATTAGAAAATGCCAAGACCATATTCGGATGATTTAAGGTGGAGAATGGTTTATCAACGGCTGTTCTACGAAAGAATCCTCGACGAAATTGCAGCACAGCTATTTGTTTGTTCAAAAACCGTCTATCGTACTCTCAGCACCTTTTGGAACACGGGTGATGTGAAGCCTTGCCGTATGGGTCGCCCAACAGCGAGCGTATCTTTATTCCCACACGAAGAATATATTATCATGGACTGTTTACTGCGAACGCCGCAAATACAGTTGAATGAGATAGCAAGCTATATTAATGCTACTGGCTCTGCATTTGGCCCGGAGACACTGTGCCGAGCTATCTATAGGCTTGGAATAACATGCACTCAAAAAGGTACGAACATTATGACATTATTTAAGTTGGAATATATACTTAATACCGGACGCTGGAAATCATATAACTATATTAATAAGACGCAAGCCATTCCACCTTTTCCAATTTATTACAAGATTCTACTGTAGTTGTTCTTTATCAACTCTTCAAGCCACATTTTGGACTTGATGAGTCATGGACTTCTTGCGAACTGTTTGTTAAAGAATCCCGAAGAAAGATTTGAAACACGCTCATTTATCCATTTTCTTGATGAACATTTGATGGGGAAATCCCGCGATCCGTTCTCGTTATGGGTGAGATTTGATTATAATTAATGCAAATTCGCTGTTCTAACATATGTCTCAAGGGACGACTGAATTTGTGATCATGTTTTGATCTATTAATATCAGTTTAAACAAAACTTGTTGATGCACAAAGATGCAACTGCTAAAACTAGTAATATGCATATTTTTTAACAGATAACCACCCAACACATCATGTACAAGAAGTTGTAGAACGAGTGTACGACAGTCCTGATTTGAATCCTATTGAAGAGGTTTACATATAGCTTGCTATCTCATTCAACTGTATTTGCGGCGTTCTCAGTAAACAGTCCATGATAATATATTCTTCGTGTGGGAATAAAGATACGCTCGCTGTTGGGCGACCCATACGGCAAGGCTTCACATCACCCGTGTTCCAAAAGGTGCTGAGAGTACGATAGACGGTTTTTGAACAAACAAATAGCTGTGCTGCAATTTCGTCGATGATTCTTTCGTAGAACAGTCGTTGATAAACCATTCTCCACCTTAAATCCGAATATGGTCTTGCTATTTTCTAATCGTTCACCTTGCTATACTCGAGCTCGAAATTAGCACGCTTGTACAATCCCTCGCGTGTTGATGCATAATAATGTCACGTGATCGATATATACATATACTTGCTCAGGACAACCTTTTCGACAACGACAGTATATATATATATATATATATATATATATATTATATATATATTATATATATTTATATATATATTATATATATATATTATTATATATATTATATTATATATATTATATATCTATATATATATTATTATATATATATCTATATATATATATGTATATATATATATTATATATATATATATATTATTATATATATATATATTAATAATATATATTTATATATATATTATATATATTAATATATATATATTTATATATACAAATGCGAAAAGTTTTTGATGTTTTACTCATTTTTTGAATGGGACGATGCTGGACCCGCGCTGTTGACTTTTGAAAACGTTTGAAAATGACGAATTTGTATATATATATATATATATATATATATATAATTATATTATATATTTATATATTATATATATATATATATATATATTATACATATATATATAGCGTTATCATACTATTCATATGAAGCCCATAGCTATCAACTGTCTAACCGCGAGGGTAAAAATTAGGTACAGCCGAGCAATTTCTAGATTGGGGCTGGTGAAATGGCTTGAAACTTGTGGGAGAAAGGAGCCTGTGATATGTTCCCCAGGAAGATCTGAACATCGTCATTTGAACTCAATTATATACTGCTCTATATCAAATGCTAAGGCCATGTTGCGAAAAAAGTTTGTAACATTATTAATTCCATATTAATTTTAAATCTCCATGTAACACAGGAAAAATATTATTAGCGCTTTAAGCTCGAGGTATTCACGATTTGCACTTGTAAAATTGATATTTAAAAAATGATTTCCTTATACTTAACGGCCATAAACTAGCAAATGTATCGCTAGATGGGAGAAGTGGCCATATATATATTTGTTGGTATACCTTTAATTGTAGTGCAATATTCTGCCTTTCTTTTGATTTAGAAATGGAATGTTGAGGTGATGATATACTAAGATATTGGCGATAGGTTTGTAAACATGTCTGTTAAACATCGTGAGAGACTTGAGAAACTAAAGCAAAATTCATTGAATGATTCCAAGAGCAAGGTGAGAATTACTGTCACGGTTGTAATAGTTAAGTTAAAGCTAAATAGATTAATACTAGTTTTTATATTCTAAACTTTTGCGAGACTGGTATTGATGTTTTGGCATCGATATTCATTATTTTTGTGATTGAAATGAAAACAGGGATGTACATTAGAAAGAACCAAATTGATTATCCATATAATTAAAAAACAACAAATGCTCGTAGTAACATTACACGTATAGCTAATAGTCAAGGCCCTGAATATGAGTTGGTATGCATTTCATTTAGAACAGGTAAACTGAACTGTTTTAGGGTGAGTTGACAATGGCGGTCAATATATATATGATAACGCTGCCCGAACCATAATGCAGGCAAAATTGACCACACCCAAAAACCGCACATTCACTATAGTGTTATCTGCATGCCAACCAAAAAAAGCTTTGACTAATTTAAGCTTCTTATATGGTTCGGAGGTGCTTTTAGGGGTGGTCATTGGTAAATACAAAATCACTAGCAAGCTAGCAGTAATACTTAACAAGTAAAGGACCATGCAATACTCATGCACAAGTGTTACATTGTGACTTACAACTTCAAATAAACAGCAGTGGGCTTAAACTGCCTTTTTCCTCAAATCTTCAAAATGCGGTGCTATTGTGTCATGCCGAAGAAGGGGCAATTTTGTTTTAGACCAATCAGCGAGTTTGTTTACATTTTCAGTAACCCAATCAAAATGCATTGATTTTGACTACTTCCGGTAAGAAGGTACATTTACATGCTGAGGTACATTATATTAAAATTTAGGCTTTGCCTGAAAAATGTGAACAAATATACCAATAAGTTTAAAACAAAATTCAACTTTTTTGTCATCCCGTGTCGGTTGTTATAAATTCCGCATAATTATTCTTCAATCAAAGGCCTTTCAACAAACATGACCTTTATAAAGGACTTGAAATTAAAAATATGAAATATGACAAATACAACATTTAACCCCCAGTAAAATTATTGATTATTTAGTAAAAAATCACTTTGCAGCTAAGGCTGAATAGCGTGAATTTTACAACATTGCGGGAACCAATAAAAACATGTGAATTACATTAGGTTAAGAATTTTATATTACGATTTTCCTAGCTAATATGCAAATACACCCTTTATGCATGCTTCATCGGTACATGTCATTTATGTTTTAGTATAATAAAGATATCCGTTACCGTATCTGTAATATATGATTCCTTTTTTCGAAAAATTATACAGGCATGTGCAAGTACGTTTCGGTTGTCAAGGTTTAGGTGAACATTTTCACATGACGAGATGGATCGAAATGCTATTGGCTAGCTTAAGACACGTGCTAAAATGTAATTGCCTAAAAAAAATAAGACAAGAGACTACTGAATTTGTTAAAATTATCTGTGAGGTCATTCCGTGCGTCTGTCCTCTTATAAATCATAGCTATCGACCAATGAAATTGCTTGGATTCTTAACGTTATTATATAAAATGTATCTCTATCTGATATTACACGATAACCATATTATATGATTCCTTTATTAAACTTTGAACTAAAGCTAAAAATTTATAAAACTACCTTGGATATTTTAAACTCTCACCTCCTTAATGAAGTAAACAATTTAGGATACTGAGTAGTCATGTGTGTTTTTCCCATAGGCTATATCACCAGTCAAGCATTTTTCCAGGGATCAATCATTTTTGCTCGGGAGAGGTTCTGGGGGCACGTTTGTTTATCTTGGTCTTATGGAAGATGGGAGTGAAGTGGCTATTAAAACAATGTTACTACAACCACCCCCAGAAACAGCAGAGAATGAGAAAAACATTCTATCTTTAATTCAGACAAAGAATTCCCGATTTGTTGTAAACTACCGACACTATTTTCGAGACGAGACTTTCGTATATCTGGTTACTGATCTTTGCGAGGAAACGCTGAAAGACCATGTTCTTTCCCGAAGTATAGACGACCTTAAAAAAAAAGGTCGACGTATGATTAAGGAGATCTTAACTGGTCTGCAATTTCTTCACGATCAAGGAATTTTGCACAGAGACCTCAAACCATCAAACGTCTTGGTCGACATTGGGGGTCATATGAGATTGGCAGACTTTGGAATAAGTCGTGTTTTGAAGGCAGACGAAACTACAGTTTATACTAATGCAAAAGGAACTCCAGGATGGATGCCTGCGGAAATAATTGAAGCAATAGGTCAAAAAGTAGAATCTCGTTATAAGAAAAAGTCTGATATTCAAGTTACTGGAATGATTGCATTTTTCATTCTTACAAAAGGTGATCATCCATTTGGTCCCACTCATGATCGCATGGGAAACATTGTGAAAGGAAAACCTGTAAATTTAAAAGTTCTTAATGATAAAAGTGCTCGAAAGTTTGTTAAGAAGTTAATCTGCCATAAAATTAAAAAAAGACCGTATGCCTGTGAAGCATTACAGTATTCTTATCTTAACGAAGCAAAAGATGATGACGATGATGAAGATGATGATGACGATGATGATAATGATGATGTTTTTCATTTTCGAAATATAAACATGCGTAACTTATCTATTGAAGATTATTTCTTAAATCTTCTGGTGGAAGAACATAATTAGAGCAAGAATATTGACAAGATTATTGACAAGAAAGAGGAAGAGATCTTGATTAGGGAGCTGGCAACTGTGCTTTTCACCAGTTAGTGACAACTGTGCTTATCACAGGAAATTTATATTTATCCTATTAAAATATTGTAGCCAGAATTCAATTAGTTGCACAAGTGCATGGGTAGGTAATGAATGCTCCAGACCAGATTTGATCAGTATAGGTGCGGCATCCGACTAAGAGCGATCACCAAAGAAAGAAGATAGTGGCTGTGACAGCGTTGCTTAGAAGTACATACATACATAATAATATACCGAGTACAGCAATGTAATGTCAATGGGGAGCTATCTAATTATAAAATTATCACCTGTGGAGTTCCCAGGGTTCTAGACTGGGACCACTACTATTCTTACTATTTATTAATGATTTGCCTGAATGTCTAAAATGAACCACTCCAGCTATGTATGCGGATGATACTCAAATCTTTTCATCCTCTTTTGATGCAAATGAACTTATTATAAAATTAAAATCGGATCTTGCCCATGAATGTAGCTGGCTTAAAGAAAACAAGTTGCAGATGCATCCATCCAAAGGAAAAATGATGTTTATTGGTTCCCCATATAACATTCATAATTTGATGTGTGATGTACCCGTTATGGCTAATGCAAAACCCATATCACGAACTACTACACAAATGTGTTTGGGGAATAAATTAGATGAAAATCTTAACTGGGTAGTCACATTGAAATGATATGTAAAAAGGTGAGTGCAGGGATTGGCGTTATGAGACGCATAAGACCCTTTGTTGCTAGACATACCCTAGAATCTGTTTTTTTAAAAGCAGCCTGACTTCGATTACTGATCCCCTCTGTGGGATACTTGTGGTAAGCTGCTCAGAGACAAGTTGCAAAAATTTCAGTTTCGTGCAGCGAGGGTCTTAACAGATGCAAATATCATACTTCATCAATCGATCTTCTTAGTAATCTTTCTTGGGACACACTTGAAACTAGATGGTCTTGTGCCAAGTCAGTATTGATGTACGAGATACTTAATGAAACACTGCGCCTGCTTCGAGAGTCTTTTGTGAGCAGAGAAATAGATCAAACTAATTATCACCTCCGAAACTCTGCAACAAACCTAAGTCTCCCTAGGCCGAATCGAGAGTCCCTTGAAAAAATTCAAATATAGCGGCGCTATGCTTTAATTGGAATCGGCTCCCAGACGAAGCAAAATCAGCCGAGTCGCTTCGTTTGTTTAAATCAGTTAACGTTGTTGTTGGACACTGAAACGCATCCTACTTATTCATATAATCTATCTATGTGTGAAACTGTCTGTGTGTAATTGTCCTGTTTTGCAGTCTTATTAACTGATTTTAATACTTAAACACGCCCCTCATGGAAACCAGCCTAGAGTTAATGGGACTAGCGTGTCTCTTGGTTTTAAATAAAGTTTTACCTACATGCCTACCTACCTACACAAATATGTCATTAAAATATTTGTGTGCATGAAAGCCAAGCTTCAAATATGTATGGAAATTGAAGGACGCTAACGTCAGGATTAAATTTTATGACATGGAAAATAATTATAATTATAATAATAATTAATTGACTTCAAGTTCATTGTTATTGAGAAGAAATATGGCTTTAAATCATTTTAGTTCAAATTGGTGTTTTACAAACTATAAAATGCCATGCACGAACTATAAAATGCCACGCCATTGGGAATGCAAAGTACCATATTCAGCAGTCACAGCATCATCGCTTTTTGACAGTCGCTTTGAACCCTACTTTGCAAGATAAGAGTAAGACGGGTCCTTCTAATTGACCGTGAAGAAAAAGGTGGCGGCATGTACATTTTACCAGAATGCATTGCGGGCATTGACTGAAAAAAGAGGGCAAGAATAACTCCTAATGACTTGAAGTTTCAACACAGCGAACAAAATAACTTCTGTTTTATGCCTGTCCTTTAAAAGACGTCAGTTCGTTTTTTTAAACGATTTCCGACCGCAATGCATTCTAGGAAAATGTACATTCGCCATCTCTTTTGTTATGGTCAATTGTTCTTGGACAAAAACATCAACAGTTGGGCTTACTCCAAAAATAAAGTATAATGTTCAATTCCCATCTAAATTAACCCCTAAAGAAATGCAAAAGTTTGCTAAGGTTAGGGATTCATCCACGATGGTGGAACAAAGCGGTGGTGGCGCCAAACCATGCGCAAGGCTAGTTGATAGAAAACCGTTGATTTATTTCTTTAGATTTTTCAAGGAAACAATGATCCAACAACAACTGTTACCCACGCATTTCAAACTCATATCAAATTTCAGTACATCTATGATGAGGCTCGAGTTGTTAGCTTGCCACTGATCATGAGAATAAATAACCTGCATGTAGTGTTTGAATCATTGTTTTGAATCTTTGCTGAGTAGAGTACCTGAAATTTAGAATAAAAGCAGTATTACTTAATGTGCTTGTTTTGCTTGAATTATATCGATATTGCGGCCTACTTTAAAAGTTTACGTAGTCGTATATAATTTGAACATGAATGAGGGTAATGTAAATTTCAAGTAATGAAACTTTTACATCGTTGAAACATTACATTGTTGAAACTTAAGTGTCCTTAAAACACTCGGAAATATGATAGGATGGACTGTGCATGCATGTCTGTTGCGTTTTCAGATCTGGTGATTGAAACAGCTCAGCGGCTATTCATTTCACTGATTTTCCTCTGAGCAAAAGGATTAAGGTAGTGGAGCTCTTGAAAGACCGTGTAAGTATGTTTTTATTTTCCACGCACAGGGCGATCTCATCGCTAAAAAAGGGAACCATCAAAATAGGATATTGTCGGAATTTTACTGATTTAACACTGATCCTAACAAAAACATTCGTATCATATTCAAACCTATCTATAGAAGGTGATTTCATTTATTGCGTATATATATGAATCTGCATTGAATTGATAAAATTAATTATATATATATAGGGCCCTTGCAGAATATATATGTATAATTATATAAAAAATTGCTAATGATTGTATGGTTTGGGTTTAATCTTTTAAGATACTATAATATATTTTACAATTGCAGACAGACAGTCGGCATCTACTGTTACTATATACACCCCATACAAGCTCGCTCTCGTGAACAAAGCAAAAGAAGTATAAAAGCAAAATAAAGTATAAAAACAACGAGATGGAATTTGACCTCACTCATGTAATGATACTATACTGCCTGGTCTTGTCCTCGGCAATTAACGCCATGGTTCATCGACCATATTTTCCGCGAAAAGAAAATACAGGTATGCAGTGCATGAAGTAAAATAAAACGTCGTTTTCACTTGTGTCTTAAGAATATAAGCGTAACGAACTATCAAAAGGCAAAATAATGAAACGTGTGCAATGAAACATGAAACACAAGCATCGACATTTAAGCATATAAGCTAACACAAGACTTCCAACCATAATTCAAAACGAGACAAAAGAAACTTCAGATGATTTATATTTCATGCTCGGTCTTTTTTGTCCATCTATATTTTATCTCTAATGCTTTTGTTATATTATAGTTAAAACTAGGCACAACAAACTAGTTATTTAGTGGTTAGCCGATTGAATCAAGTTTTAATTCGTTGGTGCACATTTATGTATAGTGATTATGAATTGCGCGTGTATAAGCTACTTACAATACATAAAGGGTTCTTCAATCGCATTGCATGAATGTGCATTTACAAAGGCGGGGTACAACAATGAAGTTTCTTTTCAAAAACCTACCGATCTTTTTCCAACAGCTGTTGATGCAGTGGTGGGTATCAGTGCATGCCTGACCTGACCAATATAAATATATTATATGTAAATTGTCAATTGTCTGGATATTTTGTTCTTTACTCAGCTTTAGATGCGGTACTTCAAACCTTCTTCAGAATTTTGGGGTTGATTTTGTATATTTTTTTAAATGTTAGCATGCTATCAAAATAAATGTTAGCATAATATCCTATGTTATGACTGATCCGTCCCTCCCTCCCTAACTGCGTCCCTACCTCCCTCACTCCCTCTCTCCCTCGTAGTTGTCACTTTGAGGGGAATTTCTTTGAATCGTGAAGATCTTGATTGCTGGGAATCTATGTAAAAGTCGTGTATATTTACATATCGCAATTAACGCGTTTCTATATACTGCTGTGCGTGCGTACATATGAAATGCTGACGACGGCATATGGTGTGCGCGGATGCAAATTACCCGACTGCATACACCCTCATGCAGTCGTTCAAGCATTAAATTATATACAGCGAACGTGAAACACTACGGCAAAGCTGAATTTGCTGCTTCTCTAAATACATCAGAAAATAGCCTATTGCTTCTTACATTATACTGCTGAACAGCACAAGTTTTATGTAGAACGTTTGTAATTTAGCGAAATTGCCGCACACTAAAGATAGTGAAGTAACTGAAGTTAGAATAGAAACTTTGTTAGCGGTTTGCGTTTGCCGTAAACGTAATAAAGGTTTATGTCGGGTATTTGATATCAATGATTATTAAAAACACTGCGATTTTTCGAATCTCTACTTTTTTACCTGAATATCAGATCTCATGCTGTGCATCGAGTATTTTCCCACTCTAAGAGTCGGAAATGTGGGAAAAAGGATCTTAAATTACTGTTTAGTGGCCAGCCAGCCTGCTGTTTCCATGTGTCGTGAACATGTGAAGGTAGTTGATGCATGCGAGTCAGAGTCAGAAATGTGAATATATAAAAATAATCATGTGCAGTCAATAATGATCGATTTGAATGCAGAATAAGAGACAAATTTCCATCGCACTATTTCCCATCAGTGAATAATGAAGAAGCCTTGTTCACGACAATTACGATTAAATGGAAACCAGGCTTTAGTCTCGCCATGTAATTTTAACTACTTATTACCATCGTTAATTTCTTAAAAAATTCCCCGAATTAATTAATTTCTTAATAAATTACCGAGTGGCTTCGCCACTAGCACAAACATTGTATAAACGGCCGGTTTCGTGATATAAGTGTACATTGAGAGCAAGTTTGTATCCACGACAAGCTAATAAAATTATGCATAATACACTTTGCATATGTTTTGCAAGTTTGCATATGTTTATTAGCCTCTTTACTACACGATTTGCTGAGCAGATGCTGCCAGATAGCTTTCGTGTCCGGCAGGCTATGAGTCTTATAAATTCATTATAAGTTTGTATTCATGAAATTTAAAGGTAAATCGCCAGTAAAAGTGAAATTGGCATGTCCAGTTAGGCTGCATTACAGGTCAGCATTGACATTCGCGAAGTTAAGGCGGCGCACACTAGAGCTATGTCAGGCATCTTATAATTCTTAGCACAATAATTTACGACA